AGGGAGGGAGGGAGGAATTTACTGAAAAAGCTTACAGAAAGCATAAGAAGTTGGGATGATCTTATTGAAACAAATAATATTTTCCTAAAGATGAGAAGATTTGCCCTTTATGCTTTGTTGTACAAAAAAGGCTGAAAATCAAAACCAGGTGTCCTGTATTATACTGTCAGGCAAAAAATAAGAATGTGTCTATGTTCACATAGTAGTGTAGTCCAGTTTCAAAAGTATCTCACCTGTGAAGGACGCTTCTGCTTCATTTGGAGAACAAATGAAGTATCAATATTTGTTTAAGAAGTGCTTCCAACAAGAACTTATAGCTGAGCTTAATTTTGTGCATGACTTAAGTGTGCACAGAAGACATTGAACGCTTGCTGAATGAGGGCCTAAGTCAATAATTCACTTTGGCCAAATCTATACTACAAATTTTCTTTTGCCATAAGTTTTAGGAGGTTATAAGATTAATATTTGCTTAAGTGGGGTAACTATAAATAGCAACTGCTCTCCATGCTGCCAGAAATTACAAAAGGAAGATCCTTTTGCCAGAAGAGTTTAGGTCCTCCAGGAGAGTTACTGCCAACAGAAAAGTTCTATTTGCTATTATCAACTGAATCTCTACCAGGGCTTTGCTACTAAAAGTCTACCAGCAAAGTATTTTAGAGAATACACTAATTAGAGTTTTATTTCTTTTGATTTATGACTGATAGCTTGTTCATTTCTCTTGCTTTTCCATCATTATTTTGTGTGTTTCAGGGAATTGCTGTATTGCAACCAGTGCTCTGAAGTTATCACAACACCAGTTTTGAAAATGCAGCTGGAAGTCTTCTTGAGTTGTCCCTCCCGATCTCAAAGCACAGTGAAAGTAAAGGTATGGCATGAAATAAGCATTGGTGCATCAGGGTGCAATGAGACTAGATGTGTAGACACATTCTAAGCCACAATTCTATGAACAGTCCTGTCAGACAAATTAAAATATGTAAGACTATCCCATAATTTAATCTGATAATAAGCTTGTGTTTCATTGGGCTAAGAACCCAGTTCCCAGATCTTGCTCAAATAGTGCAACTGTTGAGTTCACCCTGAGGTGTACAAACTGTTCTGTGGCCCAGATGGAGGGATTTGTTAGGTTGGGCCTTTGGAAACAGCAGTCCACACAGTCTAAAAGGAATGTGTGTTTTTAGACTTCCATTCTGAAAATCTTTTGTGTCACCTCTCCTCTGCTTTCTTGGCCAGAGAAACAAAACTGTTTGATATTAAAATGATAAATCTTTGTTCTATGTGGCTGCATACAAAACATCTTTGCACACTTAAGATTTTTGTCATGAACAAAACCTGTGAATTTTCTCATTCCAGCTGTTGCAAAAGACAATCTCTTCTCTCCTGATGTCCTCAGCCAGCGAGGATGGGGTAGGTATAATGAATGCTGACCAAAGAAAGTTAAACTACAGAACCTAATGTAAAGGGAGAGTACTGATGTGTTGGCAGGTCAGCCATGACTTTTGGTGGCAGGGTCTTGAAAATCTCTAGTGATGGAGACTTTTTCTAGTGATGACTTTCCAGGCAGTTCACTTCAGAACTGCACTAGGAGTTGTAAGAGATTTCACTACAAGTGAAATGATTTTTTTTCCCATGTCCAGGCTGTGATTTGAGTGGGCTGTACCCTTTGGCAATCCCACCTTCCAGCTGCTGATGCCCTGCCATCTCATCAGACTCACACCCTCCTTTTCAGAAGGAGGATGCTGCAGATGGGCTGTGTAGCTCCAGCTCAGCTGTGGATCTGCAGAGCTACCTGCAAACAGCACTCAGAGCTGCCACAGGCAGTGCTGGACTTGACTCCAGCTCATCCAGCTGAGGATCCAAGGACAGCCAAGCATCCCACCTTTTGGGTCTGGGCATCTAAATCCTATAAACCACAACCACTTTGTAACAGCACGACACTGAAAGTACTGGCAGGTGGAAATAGTAGAAGAATTTGCAAAATGCATGCAACATATTACTTCATAATGAAATGAAATGAATGAAACACACATGAGCTGTGGAGATCCATGGGCTAAAGTACAGTTTATGTAATCGTGATGTAGTTATTCCTTTAATCTGAGATATCAGAAGAACCCTGACACTTGGCACAGTGACCCAGATTTATTGTGGGTGAGGGAGGCACATGGGTAGGTGCCTGGCTGGCATTGGCTGCTGGATGCTCAGCAGCCTTCAGAGAGTCATTAAGCCCAATTAGGATTCCAAGATTTTCCCTCTCCCTTGCACGTGAACGGGAACAAAGGTCAGTTTGTTGTCTTGTTTAATCGTCCCAGTTAAATATCTTCAGATAGGTGATATGTACTGGGGTCAGTTTACTTTCCCTGTCTTACAAGTTTTCCACCATTTTCCTATTACATGCTCCATGCCTTTAGTGGGATTTGTGGGTACTATTTAAAGTGGAAAATTACTCTGAAATAATAAATTATTTTCTTATGCTGGAGAAGGATGTATATTTCATTTAAGCAAAGAGATACAAGAAATTTGCAAAACGTGTTTGCTCCTTTAATAGCAGTTAAGTCTTGCTGAGTTTTACAGGATGTGTCTGGTTTGGTTACAGACTGGCAAAACATAGTTCTTTTTCGAGTTATTAGAATTCAAACAACCTCTTTTTTTCATTTTCAGTGTGTATAATGCCAGTATTTAAAAGTCTGGCAACTCAGATTTTTTTTCTTCCCTGGCTGAAACACAGGGATAAAGATTAGTCACAAGAAATACCACTTGAGGTGGCATTTTTTTTGCAAGTGCTGCTGAAGTTTCTAAGGGTGTAGCTTTGCAATCAACTATTTTGGCAGGGAGGTTGGTTTTAGCCGTCACTGGCCCTGGCCACTTGTTCCTCACCTTGTGGCAGCCCTTCTGTTACACCAGTAGAGTTGTTTGTGCAGCTGCACAGTGAACTGGACTGCAGAACCAGTCTGGGGTAAAAATAATTTAGGAAAAAAAAATAGAAAAAGGATTGTTTATACCTTGAACCAGGCAACAGCCGTGGGTATCACATACCTGTAGAGAAGCACCATGCAGATGAAGGCAGGGCACGGCCAGAGGCTGGTTGTAGGCAAGGCCTGTTAAGGAAAGGAATGGATGTGAACCTGCCACCTGAGATACCCTCTCAAGGGAAATATCAGCTATGAATCTTACTAGTTCATGTGCTAACATGCTGTCTCCTCTTAGTGCAGCCATGCCAGCCTTGCATCCCTCTCCTCCACGCAGAACACAGCCTCTGCAAATTCGCTCAGGCACAGCTCCTGGGTGAAATGTGGTCAGATCATTAAACAGGAGGGACCGTGTTGGTGCTGCTGGTATGAACAACCAAAAGTTAGAAGGGGGGAGAGGGAGGAGAGTAAGGAGGGTTACAAAATGTGTTTTCCTTTAGTGGATCAGCTAGCACAGGTAGTCAATGTATGGTATGTATATATGCATTGCCAGCACGCGTGAAGTCCTGCAGGTGTTAAAAAGGAAGATAAAGGGACCATGTGCAGATTATGCTTCAGCAAAACTGAGTTCAAAGTCGCAGCAACTTTTTTCTGTTTTAAACAGCTCATTTTTAAAGCCTGGTAGGGCAGCAACTGAGACAGGAGTGTGATCTAATGATTGAAAATCTGATATATTCATTTTTTCCATTAGCCTAATGCACTTTTCGAGTTCTTTAAAAAAATTGTCTTTTGGAAGAGGATCTTGCATGCTGCATCTTCCCAGCTGAATGCTGCCTAGAACAGAACGTCCAGCGCTGTTTGTTTTACTCACCATGCTTTTATTCCTGCAGACTTACGAGGTGCAGAGCGTGCTGGGAAAGGAGGTGGGGTTCCTGAACTGCTACGTCCACTCCGTATCCAGTCACCCCAACTGTGTTGCACTGGAGGAAATCGTTCTTCTGGAAGCTGCAGCAAGACAAAGTTGAACTCTAGACAGCTATTATAGTATCTGTGGACTTTGTCATGTGATTATCTGTTAACTAGTGCCACAGATAATGTATAATGCAAGTGTGATAAGCATTAAGATAGTTTATTAAAACTGTGATTTATAAAGCACATTGTGCTAACACTGAAGAAAATATCCATATATTGTTCAACTTTCTGAACTTTTCATTTTCTGATCAGTGCAGAATCTAAGAATACAGTTCTTTGTTGTGTTTGCTGTTATGTAATGTAAAACATCTTTTTCTGGAAGTTTTGAATGGTTGTGATTTTTTAAATAATGTTGTATTTATTATGTGTCAATGGAAAATATTTTATTGATATTTTTGAAATAAATGCCTTGCTATGGGCAGTGAATGTTGGTTTAAGCTGAGTTTTATCAGTGTATCCCAGACCTGCTGCAAAATGCTGCGTGGTGCGTGAATTCTGAGTTATCACTTTGCAATAGTTGTTGTAAAGACAGAGATTTGAACACACATGAAGTTAATGTTTTACAGCTAATTGGTCTCTCAGCATACAAGTTTGTGTGTTATCTGCAGCTTCCCACAAAGCGGGTGTTTCATTATAATTTCTTTTGTGGGTAAGGAGCAAACTGCGTTGCAGGCCACGCAACCACCCTCACACAGACCGTGGAGACTACAGATCAGATAAATGCCAAAATCTTCCTCTGTGTGCATTGCAAGGATTAATATAAGAATTAGAGACTGCATGGGTTTTTTTCCCCCTTACTCTTTCAGAGTGTTTAAAAGCCCCTTACAGGTCAGTGGAGGAGGAATGATTGGTTTTGTGCAGGTCCTGTATGTGATTAACCAGCAGAAAAGGAACAGCAAACTTGCCACACTGGTCATTTCTGCAGCTCAGGCCAATAGTGAAAACTCTTATGGCTGTCACAATTACTAAAGGAATAACCCAGCTTTTGAATTCCCCTTTTTCCCCCCCACCTCCTCCAAGCATTGCAGTCTCTTACCTGCCTCCTTGTAAGGAAAAAGGAGTTGACACAGCCCATTCCTGTGTAGGGGTCTGTATGTGAGACTGGGGCTGCCAAAAGCTTGAGACTTGAGTCTCTGAGGAAGCTGGATGTGCTTGTTGCGTCAGGCCATTTTTCTGCCCCTGCCCTACAGATGCTGTAAGTGCTCTAACGCTGCACTACTGAAATTTAGACAAATTGCCTGATCTTCTGTGATCTGTCTGTTCACTCACTCATCAATGAGCAGCAGCCTTGCCACTCTGTTACTAGCAGGGATCAGTGAAAGTCTGTGACCATTGACTCTGTGATGAGCAGCAGTTACCCACTCTCACTTTCACTAGCCAGGATCAGTGAAAGTGTCCAGCTCCTGCAGTGGGCTGAAGCCTGAGGGAGCACCAGCACCTCTGGGACAGCTGGTCCCAGCTCTGGAACATGTTAGCATAGGTGCAACTTTTGCATTATCTGGAATGGAAACCCCTTGGAAGATTTTTTAACAGGAATTTTAACTAGTGGTATTGTTTGAATAGTGTTTAGGCAGTCCTATGCAGTTTTTATTATTTTTATTATTATTTTAATACGGTATTTCTGGCAGAGCCCTGGTCACAGAGCAGTCTCTGGCTGTGCAGCTGCTCGGTCCCACCAGCGCCACGGCAACCCCTGACTCAGCACTCCGGCTCCGGGGGGAGCAGGCTTCACAACCCCCGCGGCCCGGGGCTCTCACGGTCGTTCCCAGCCCTGCATCTCTACCTGGATGCTTTGGGAAGTAACGCAGCGCCCCTCGCTTGCCCTCAGCTCCCCTCTCGGCCCCTGGGACCCTCTCTCGCCGTGTTCCCCGCCCGTGCTCAGCCGCCTCCCGGGCAGCACAGCTGTCCCCGCCGCCAGCCCAGCCCTTGTTGCTGTCACGACACAGAGCAAAGGAGAGTAGGGTTGATTTAAAATGCTTCTCTTTATTCTTAGAAATGCTGTAAAAATTGATATAAAAGGTTGAGCATGCTCAGTCTTTTTTTTTTTTTTTGTCTTTTTTTTTTTTCCATTCTACTGTCTAAAATACATGGGATTTTGAATCATTTTAACAGATGTACCATAGCTGCATCGGTATGAGTAAAATGTAGAAAAGACGAAAACTACCATTACAAAAATAATTTAAGGGGAGAGAAGAAAAAAAAAAAATATATATATTTAGCTTTTTTTCCCTTTTTCGCAAGTTTCGTGGTGAAAGACCCAGGCATCGCTCCACGTC